ATCCTTCGGAACCCAATGTTCGGCCAATCAGATTCCTGTCTCTTATACACATCTAGACGTGATTACCCCTCCCCCTATGAACATCAGCAGAGACTGCTTTTTAATGCCAATTGGGGGGACCAACGGGCTATCCCTAGGTGGCGGGCGCCAAGCATGCCCAGGAAGGTACATGAGGCCAATGGGGATTGAACCCAAGACCTGAATGCCACTTGCGTGCCTTACCAAATGAGCTAGGCCGCTGGATCGCTCCCCCGTCTATTTTGACAACTCAGAGACTAAAAAAAAAAAATAAAAAAAATCCTTGTCGTCACTACCGTGATCAGAGGAAATTAAAATGACACAGCTGCAATCTAATCCTTCTATAAAAAAAAAAAAAAAAAGTGCGAATCCATAGCTGAAAACTACTTGTCCGTAGCTGTAACTATTAATACCTCGTTGGTCATTACGTCGATCCGCGCATCGTCTTCAATTTTTAGGACAGCTGTTCAATCAGTAAGAATACCGTAATAGTACACGGTTTGAACCTTCTCAGATACGCCAATAAAAATATTCATCACCGCCTCCCTCTCTTTTTTTTTTCGCGCACCGCCTCCCTATCTCGCAGGGCAGAGAATTATTCACGCTTCAATCAATCAAACATTTTACTACCCTATCAACGCATTCATTGGACAATTGAAAGCGGAGACTACCTGTCATTCCCTCGCCCTCCCTCTCTCGCAGCGGCGGGGGGGCAATTGCATTCCTGTCCCCAGGCACAACATCTGAACGCACGCCAGCCCATGTGTGCAATCCATGAGTGGGAAGTTGATCTCGGCGACGCTGCCGGGGGCAGACCTCAATCACAATGCTAATAGGAGGACAAGACCGCAACTAGCCTTCAATGATAAAACGTGGATTGGGAAGGGGACAAAAAAAAAAAAAAAAAAAAAAAAGGACGCGCCTGTAGCTGAAGCAATGAGCACTCCCCCTGATAAAGCGAGGATAGTGTATTGTAATAATATTGCCACACGAATGACGGCAGCGATCGAGCGAAAATTGGTTGATATCGAGAAAAAAAACAGTAATGAATAGCGGCTCTAACAAAACACAGGGCCCGACCAACGGGCCTAGCTCATTATGTACACCCCCCCCCTGGACTGTTGAAAGCCAGACTCAAGTCCGAATCCAGATACCCCATCAGATAAAGAGAACAAAATCATTCTGAGTTATACCTGGGCCCGCTCAGTTGGATGATGGCATATCAAGGCCGCCACCCTGTTAAAAAAGAAGAAAATAAAAGGGGAGGATAAATAAAACGAAAAAATAAAAGAATAGACGGTCACCGCGGATTATCAAGCGAAGAGGATTATTGAGCGAATGAGAATATGATGGCATCGAAAAGAATTAATTAAGGAAAAACAAAAAAAAAAAGAAGGAACATGAACTCAATCGAGTGGGCCAATCAAATGACGCTTGCCAATTAAGCAGATTATAGCAGTTGATTGATCATGATCGGGCAATAGAAAAAACAAAAAAGGTTCTGCGCCTAAACAGGTTGGTTGATTGATGATGGCTGATCGACTGACGAACTCAGAAAATACTGTAATACGGGTAATCGATTATATAATATATAGCCAATTTACCCGACAACCGGACCTCGTACCACCCCAGACCAATTACAGAGGAAGGAGCTGCCTCCTATCCCAGGACCAAAGACGAATCCAGCCGGTGGAATCGATTACATTGCCAAATAAGCAGAGATCATCATCATCTGATGATGACAACTGGACCTCATACCAGCCCATACACGAAGGAGCTTCCTCCTATCCCCGGACCAAGACTCAATCCAGTAGTTGGAATCGGTTACGGAGCCAAATTAGCAGAGATCATCATCATCTGATCATCATCATCTGAGCTTGGGAGCGGTGATGATAGACTTGATAATAGACTTCAACAAACATCAAAAACCTGAATCGCTGTTGAACCAGCAGGTGGTCCAGCGATTCACGTTAATGATCGCTCGATCGATGCACACGTGGCACAACACGGACACGAATCCGCGATAACGGGGGATATCGAAGGCAACCGGACCGCCAACACTCCGCAGTTTCATTCCCTATTCACGAAAAGAACAAACATGTACTCACAAGAATTGAATTGAAGTGCCAGAGAGGAGAAGTACCAGAGAGAGGGAGTAAATACCCACACCTCAGTGCCACCATTCCCCCCCCCACTCCCTCTCTTGCTTTCACGTACGCAAGCGTAACCGCAAGAGAAGAGACTCGACGGGTGACGAAAATTGGGGGAGAAAAAGTCTGGCATTGCTCTCAGAAGATTGCTCTAAGAAGATTGGCCTCGTCAAAGGCAGCCGTAGACGGCGACTGAGGTGATGGCCGCATATATTAGAGGCGACGTAACGTCCCAGGGCCGACATCATCAGTTGAAGTATCCGTCTCGGAAGCGCATGATACATGCAAAACTCAAAACAGCAGGAAAGAAAGATGACAACAGACGCACACGCAAGAAGATGGTCGATGATCGAATACACGTGACAAACGCGGAAGGAATGAGAGACGAAGGCCAATGGGATTGAGGGGGGGGGAACAAAAAGAGGCCACACTTTGCAAAGCCAGCTACCTTTAAAACACCACACACGCAATTAGGTGGTGACATTGTAAGGGAAGCATGGCAAGGAAGCGTAAGTGTGGAGGAAGAAGAGAAGTCCACAGTGGGAGAGGGAGAGAACTCCCACACGTGGGAGAGGAGTAATTGACACGCGCTAAGGGCAGTGTGAGTGCGAAAGTACGCAGATAGCTTGTGACGACCGGGCGGGGGGCAGCGAAGGGAGAGGAGGAAGGAGAGGAGGAGGAAGGAGGGGAGGAGGAAGGAGGAGGAAGGAGGAGGAGGAGGCGCAGACTTGGGGCAGGATAACTTCACAGGAATCTGTGGGAATTGTGCCACGGAAGGAGAGCTAGAAACACATTCGCAAAACCATACATACAGGACATCTGTGGGAATTGTGACACGGAAGGAGACCGTACAGATGGGGAAGTGGGGATGACAGAGAGGCTGAGGCCGTACTCAGCCTAGTAGTTTCCTTGATGCATCTGATCGCTTTCACGGCCAGTCCTGGGTGGACGTATTAAGTGTGGCCCGACGTCGACAGAGCATAGGAAAGCGAAAAGAGGCGGAGCGGACAGGATGAGAAAAGGAGAGGACAAGGGCAACGACGAAAATTGTATTTGCCAGACAAAGGCAAATATCAAAACTGTATTGCATGATAAGGGCACCGATCAAAACCGTGTCATGCGTGTCGCATGACAATGGAATCTACCCCAAGAGTGTATTGCATCACAAGGTCATTTACCAAAATTGTATTTGCATGACAAGGGGCATGGTTCAAAATTGTATTGCATGAACAAGGGCATCAACCAAAATTGTATTCCACCATGCTCTCTGTATGGAAGGAGGGAGTGACTTACCGCAGATGATGACTTTTGCAGCTGTGCCCCAAGTCTAGCACTACGCCAGAGAGCCATAAGACCAACCACTCTCTCTCTCTCTCCCTCTTTCTGCTTTTAGCTGAGTGTGAGTTTATCTATACTACGCTCGTTTGATTGTGTGAACGGTAAGCGACGCAGGTGCCGAATCAATCAATCAATCGACCATCAATTGCTGATTAATTAATAGTCGATTGATTAGTTAAATCACGGCACTCGTCGTCGTCGTCGTCTTAGTCGTAGCCCTTAAAGCATCGGCCAACAACACAACACCGACGCCCCGCACACTCAAATCCGTATATGCACGTGTTGGTCGCCAATGACGCCCACGGCGATCCGCTCGCCTTGAATCAACACTCCTCGTCGGTACTGACTACGGTATTCGGTTCAGTACACCACGCTCTTCCTAGCGCTCCCTCTATAGCGCACACAACATCATACACGCATACACCGGCGCAGCGAAAACTCGCACTCGATCGAAATACTGCCAAGGAATGCGGCCAAATTCACGACAACGTTCAGTAAAACGATAAAGCCTCTCCTCTCAGAGCCTCTCCTTCGCACTAAGGTAGCGCACAAGCAAATGCAGACATGCCGCTACTCTACATTCAGCCGCCGCTGAATTTGGTCGATGGAGCACACACCGCTCGCTGGCTGGCTGGCTGGCCCGCTACGATGTGAGGAGTTTAAATCGAAATTGACGATTCAGGTCGTGAAACCGACTGCAATTATATACACAGTCCGCGCATTTTTCCATTCGGTCACAACGCCCCCCCCCCCCTTCACCCACCCAACACACCCGCCTTTCCCGCGCTACTCACCAAAAGAATAAACATGGAGAACGTATCCTACACTACAACATGGAAAGATTCGCGCCACAGTTTTGGTCGTTTTCACATTCGGTTAGTGGCCAGCGGAGGCGGCGAGGGCCTAAAGACGCTCTCGCGCCCGAATGGCGCCGAGGCCCCGAGGCTCCGAGGAAACGTGAAACCGGTACGGAGAATATAGGCCTCCTATCTTCCCCCGAACACAGCGCACCCTCATTTCGGCCGCACCAGACCGGAAAGATAGCTTGTATACATTCGTTATCAGCGTAACGTTGCGTTGGGCGGAAGACGGTAGCCCGCACCACTGGCCGTCGACCACTTCTTCTTTTTTTTTTTCCCCTCAAATTCCACATTGCATTTCGTCCGCCAACATTTTGATTTGAACGCATTTGTTTGAACTTTGAATTTCATTCACCAATTCATTTCATGCAAATACAAAATATTGGCGGGTGCCGAGTGGTGGCGAGTGGTGCAACTACCGGGGCAAGGTCCCACTTGCACGGATTAAGAGATTCTGGCCGTTGGTGTTTTCTATCTACGGTCAATATCGCCTAATTCGTGTAAGTGGGACCTAGCCCCCGGTAGCACTCGTTGCCCACCACTTGCGGGGCTGGTGCGAAGGCCGGGTTTGTTCGCTGCCGGGGCTCTGGTGCACAACTGGCGTGCACGCTACCGTCTTCCCGCGAACACAACGCACCCTGTTAATTAATGTATACAAGTTACGTTTCCGGGCCGGTACAGCCATAATGAGGGTGCGTTGTGGTCGGGGGAAGACGGTAGACCGGGAACAGCAGCTGCGCCGGCAGAGTACGTCTAGGTGCAGCCGTACAGAATACCGGTAGCTGATCTGTTCTGGGACATGTTGACATGTTGGCGGAGCTGTGCATTTTTGTTTTGGGAATGTTTTCATCATGGCCCTCAAAGATGCGAAAATCTGCGTTCTACCTCTCAAATGGCCTCGCAGGTCCGTCTCAGGGAGCTTCAGATTCGTAACATATCCCCAACGATGCTTGGGCTTGACATAGTTTCAGTATGCCCCTGCCGGGTTCGACTTTTTCAGATGCTTTGGTAGATATGGTCATTTGGCACTTGGACGCAGATTTGCGATTTGTCCCTACTGGTGCTGCTGAGGCCATGGAGACATTCATGGAGGGATTCATGCGATGTAGTTGTACAGACTGAGCAGTACGGGGAGGTGGTCTCGCATGGAGAGATTTATGCTTAGCGATGTGGTTGTACTGTGGGATGTCAAGCTCAAATTACATTGTGATTTTCAATATAGAGTCTGGTGCTGAGGCACCCAACAGGCAGGGCAGGGTGCAGCCAGGTACCGCCGAGCCATCAGACGGACAAGCCCATGCTGCCAAGTTACCCTGCCATCCGCCATGTGCCTTTCAAAAAGGTTACAGGCCAGAGGACCATGCCGGTGTAAGTTGGCTGATTGAGCGGCAGAACGCTAATGAAGGCATCGTCGAAATTTTGGACTGTTTCTCGATTTATGCGTGTCTAATCTTCTGTGTATCCTACCATTCTGACAGATCCCGTTTATGAGCATGGCATTCCTGTATTTATAGTGTTGGGACAAACACCCTTACAAAGGATATTTGCCCATGTTATTGCAGGGCACAGGAGTTGCGTCCCTGGTGGCAGTTGAGACAGTGGTGCGCCTATATTTGGTAGGGGTCACACCAGGTTCTCAGTAATCGGAAGGGTTATGGCATTGTGACTAAATCGGAAAGTGTGTGTGGATGCGCATTTCTGAGGCGCATGTCGAAGGATTGAGGCGCGCGTATAGCATGCAAGCGCAGAAAAGTCCGGCAGTGTCGTGACTGTCGCCAAAACCAAGACGGTTGGCGTTCATCGCCACTCTTGCGAGCCTTGCTAGCCTATAGAAGGCGGTGCCTGGGTCAGTAAGGCGTTGGGTTAGAAAGGGGTCTTTTGCGTGTACACAGTGTTTGCATTGTTTTGATCGAACTGCCCGTCCGCGGTAAAAATGGTTGTGTGCGGTAGGCGGGCCAAAGTAGCGAGGGTGCGGCTTTTCAAAGTGACCGCTTGTGGGAGCTAGAGGTATATGTGACGTGCAACCTCACGCCCTGTGCTGTTTTCTGTTCGGAGTGCTAAGGGTGCGGAAAGAGGGCCCGGGAGAACAGCAAGATGGGGTGTGCCAAGGATTTTTGGAAAATTGAGTGTGGGGACACAAACAGAACTGAAATCCCCCGTGTTGGTCCGATGAAGTAAGTCGGTTGTTTTCGCGCGTCGCGGAATGCGCGCGCGGGCACGACGCGAAAAGAGAAAAATCCTAATTCAATCCAAAAAGTATTGTCGAACTTCCCACCGCGCTACGGCTCTTCGTATAGAGCAAAAGGGCTTCGGTACACTCCGCGTGTCCCGTTTCCGTATCAAGTCCCGACGTCGCTCGTTGGTCAGTTCTGAGTCCGACGTGGAGGGTCTCAGCCTCGTGGCTTTTTCCTTGTGCTCGTCTTCACTCCGTATTCGGTAGTGAAAGCCCTTTGATTCGTAGCGATCGAAACGCTGGCACTCATTGCACAGGGTTCGGGGCCAATGGGGCGCCACTGCTGCCCACAGAATGACGATCAGCTTGTCAAATGGCAACAACACTGAGTAACGCGGGAAGTGCGTATTGATAATGACAAAACCCGCGTCCACGAATCCAGAACAACGATTTTCGGGAGGGAAGTAATATTGTCCGCCGATCCGTGCGACAGCTTCTCGTACGTCCCACTCGCAAACACGTGTCCTTTCCTCGTTGTAAGGGAAGGGGCACGTTGGCACGGGAGACACGGGAGGCTGGCGCCCAATCAAGGTGCGGCCGTCAGTCCACATATCAATCAATCAAAATGAGTTTGCAAGAACCCCGAGACGTCATCAAAACGCCCAACTAATATTTCCCTTCCCTTCGACACGAGAGAAGCATGGTACCGAACGCGTATAACCATGCGGGAATCGGGTTGGAGTTTCGAGGGACCAACCTGCGACTCAGGTTCGGCAGGCCAGATCGTCGTAAATCCGAGGCGCCTTGCCTTTTTGAGGCTGCCCCGCAGACTGGCTGCAGATGTCGTGCAGTATAAGGCAGATGGCATGCGCAGTACAGTTCAGAATGACATATCTAAACACTCTTACATTCTCGAACAAGATCCCGTCGAACTTTGGGTCTAATCAACACCAAAAACTCCATACAAGCATTTTTATGTATACATCCACTGTGGAAGGTGCGAAAATAACAATGGTGCACAAATCAGAAATAAATCGGGGGATCGTACACACGCATCCACCGTTTACAAGACAAGATGATTGAGTTCCTTTGCATCTGGGGATTACCCAGGAAACTAATGGAAGAGTTCCGGAAGAAGTTCTTCTTGACAGGAAATCACAAGGATTCACTTTTGTTCACAGGAGAGACAGACTCATAACACAACGTCATTCAGATCAGAGAGAGAAAAAAAAAAGACGGGTGAGAAGTGTCGAGACAGAAGACGCTGAAATCTGACAACGGAACGTTCGGCTTCACAGCCATGAACTTACACAAAAAAAAAATGATCCGCAACCATGAAGGCGCATTCGCCGTGAAATTCCAATATGGCCCTGGGCCAATCATCCACTCAACTCCAATTACCGATCCTCATACCCGCACCGACGATCCCGACCGTTGCGTGCTAACTTCCGTCGCTGCGATCGTCACCCCGCTGACGCAAGCTCGACTCGGCTCGCCCGGATCCCACAGTCTGTCGTGGCGATCAAGTCCGTAACCGGCCAGCCTACAGTCGGTCCGTCGAGACTTTTCGACTCGCACAGAACGCATCACCTAGCCACTGCTTCCCGGAAGTTGGCTTGGGAGTTGAAAACATAAGAGAGTTTTGCGGGCGCGCTTGCAAAATTTATAGTTGCGAGAAAGAAGACAGACGGGGGAGAAGACAGAGGGGAAATCGAGGTGTAAGAGGAGAAGATTCAGCGAGGGGTGCTCAAGGGAAGCCATGTTGATCCTTCGAAACCCAATGTTCGGCCAATCAGATTCATTGTGCAATAGGAAGATCCTCTTACTCAACGCTTCTGATTGGCGAGCGGGGGTAATCGAAGGATCAACCGGGCTTCGCGAGCCAAGGTTGAAGAGCGAGAAGGAAAGAGACGCGAGAAGCAGCGTGAGACGGGTCCAAGATTCAGACGATCAAGAAAAGGAAAAACAGGCGCGCAAAGAGCAGAAAGAGGGAAAACAGTTGCGATAGGGAAAGAAGAGGAGGGGGAAGGGAGAGAGAAGAGAGCACGGGGGAAGAATGACGCGTGACATAAGGAGGAGGAAGCTCGCATGTGCGGCGCCGACAACAAGAGAAAAAGGCACTAAAACAGTTACAGCTTGCCTATGTCCTAAACTAATTCAAAAATTGAAATCACCATATCCGCGCGTGAAAGTCGACACGGGAAAGAAAAGTCCTATGCCTATCCGTATTCTCACAAAATTCCTAGAGTTTTCTCCGACGTGACCGAGAGCATTCATGCACAAAAAAAAGACATGTCGGGTTCCGCTTATTTTGAAACTCCTAATTGTCGAGCCCGATTCCTAGTGCGCTTGCTACGCACGCAATTTCCCATGCATTTCCCGAATTACAAAAAACAGAATTCCAAGAATCAATAGAACCTCCGAAAAATGGGGGCCTGAACAAGGCGCCTGAAATCAAGAAAAACGACGGGGGCTTTGTTGGGTCAATATGGTACAAAAGAGGGAATTGCGTCAAGGGGTACGAAAGATAGCACGGGGTCGGGAAGTGGTTCGTCACAGGTAACAACGACGTGGCTTGGTGCGATAGCTGGGGTGGCCAGCAGTTGTAGGTAGGAGCCTGGGCCTCCGGCCAGCGGGGGCAAAAGTCTGGCGGCCATGAGGTTGGTGGTTAGGCCAAAGTGCGGCCTTCGGATAATTCAGCAGGTCCAACTACGGTGCAAATAAAGTTTATAAGGTATAAGGATCAAGGCCAGCCAATATATTGGTCATGACATTGGACTTCCATGCAACAGGTATAGGGCTCACGACCAGCAAGCGGTGGCCAAGTGGTGGAATGTGCTTGGACAGAACCAAGGGGTTAAGGGTCTTGTGGGACTATCCCTTTCGGTTTTACCACTGGACCCAAGCACGGGCTCGACCGGTGGTGTCGGTGCAAATACCCTTACAAGGGTAACTGCCCTGTTTTTTTACAACTGATAGAAAAAGAGTTCCAATTTGAAAATTGGGAGAGAAAGTTGAGTCTGTTGCGTTGTCGTACCAAATACCCTTACAAGGGTATTTGGCGTGTTTTCTGCAAGTCGCACCAGTGCGGCCTCGTCCGCTTGACGGCGCGCGAGCGGGAGGTAATTTAGGTCCTCGCTCGCGTGAGTGGCGCATGCTGGGTATTGACGGCGAGGTGCAATCATGCGCAGCCTGGGTATGCGCGATGTCATGGGCAAGCAGGACGCACGGCCCTTCGTCCCCTAACTGCCATTTCGTCAAAATTGACATCTTTTATTTTTTGAACGAAATTGAAATCGAGTTTTTTCACCGAAAAACCATCAAAGTTTGTTGTTCCTGAGGGCTGGACCCCCTGGCTGTACATGGACCTAGCTTGAGACCAGGTACCTCCAGGCAGTCCTGCAAATGTCCATTTTAACGAAATGATGGTTCCCTTACCTTTCTCGTGTCTTCACATTCTACTCTTATTTTTATTTTTTATTTGTCCTATTTCAAAATTTTGCTAAGTACCTTTGATTTGGTGATCGGTTCTGACGCCAACACCGGACCCGATTGGCCTGGCTCAGTTGCTACGTCACCGGGCACAGGGTGCCGACGAAAAGTCCTCCACCCTACCCACGTTGAAATACGGATTGGAGAGGTCAACGAATGTGGGAGCGGTGGAGTCCGTGGTCGTGGCTTCCTTTGTTTCCCGTTTGGAGAGTGTAGGTGGTCTAGAAGTGGAAGGGAATTGGAGAACATTCCGAGCGGGCGGGTGGGACTGCAGCCCGAGGGTGGCGGGGGTTGCTGTGGTGCACCGTCCGCCGACCACGATTATCGTGAGAGGTCTGTGTGTGAGCATGCCCGGGCGTAGGAGGACGGATCGACCCAGGGCACTATGGGAGGTTGTGACGAACTACTTTTTGTAAGGCGCCATCTTCTGCGCAACCAGGATAGGGGGTACATAGAGGGATCGGGGATAAATTGCATGGCGGTCCCTCCTTCTTGATTTTTCGAAGTTTTCTCCTTGGTCCTTCGGGAAAGAGAAAGTGGTGGTTATGGACCTTGGGACAGTAGGCCCATGCCTTAGCAAGCGCGGGGTGGGGGAACAATTTCGGCTATGGCCTTTTTCTCTTTTCTTTTCTTTTCTTTTGTTTTCAAATAAGACGTCCGTCTTTTTGGCGCGACAATCGCGCGGGTAATTCCTTCAGATTTTTTTTTGAATTTAGAACGAGCCCATGCGGGCTCTCGAAATTTCTTTTTGTAATTAAGACTTTAATTAGATAAGGAAATTGGGTGCGCCGAAATTTTTGCTTGTAACTACACATCGCCTCTTGCCTGCGCGCGCGCTTTGCTGCACAGGAACCTGCGCTCTGTTCCCGCCGCGCCAAAATTCTAATCTCAACTGTAATCTCTTCTTGTTCCTTCCCCGCTACGCAAGTGTAACTCTAATCTTCCCTGTTCTTGAAATTCTCTTCCCGCGTCACGGCATGCGCACTCTACATCCTGTCTCATTGGCCGGATCGCTGCATGGTTGGATCGAAGCGTGGAGTGAGGCTACGTCCCCCACGCCGCGGCCCAGTCATGCACTTGTAGGCGCTTCCCTTCTCCCTTCTTTTCTGTTCCTCTGGCAATCCCGACTATTGCGCGCTAATGATCAAGCTAGTCCCGTTGATCCGGATATGGTGATCGATACTCCTTTTTGGATTACCGACCACGAAAGCCTGAGAGATCCCGAGTACAGGACATATTGGGAAAGGGAACAGATCCGACGACAACAAGTCCGACAGCAACGGATCAGATGGCAGCAAAACTTGCGGAACCTTGATTACCCCTGCCGAACTGAACACGAGCGACTGTGTAGGGGCGATTTCCAATTGGCAATCAACCGGGACTCCCGAATTCCTGAGTATCCCGACATTAGACACAAGCAATACTTTATCACCCCAGGCTTCGTCGCTATCACGACTAATTTTCCTCCCCATTACATCGTCCTCCTGCATCACCTATTGCTAGTTACCCATTGGGACTCAATATCCCGGTTCTGGCCCCGACCTCCGTGCCCATAGTGCCAGCAGCCCAACGAGTACGAACAGACGAGGCCACGCGTCAGACTCCTTCCCGGAGAGAACGACAAAAAACCAACTCGTCCTCCTCATCAGACTCTGACTCTGAGTTCTGCGTCGGACGACAGAGGTACGAGCATTCCCACAGCGACGCCCACAACACCCCGTTCGTACACCCGACTCTTTCTCGTCCCCGGCCGCAGGAACGGGGCCCACCCCAACTCTGAGCTAGAGGAACCACTTGCACTTTTACCCCTGAAACTTGACACAGGAGATTCTAGTCCCGACCTGCAACTCCACCCCCACTTTCCAAAAATCCTTGCCACACCCCTTTTCGCACTTCCAGGCCCACTAACACTCCGAAACAGGAAGTCGCGCTGGGTGTGAGGTTGGTATCGGAGCCGACACGTGTCAAGACAAGGGATTGACAAGTTGCTCGACTCTCTAGTTCAACCGATCTCGTGACCCCAAAACGGGGATGGTCTGCGCAAAGGAACGCATCGGCACGCGAAGCTGTAGTGACAAAAAGCAGGTCTGCAGGCAGATCGACAGACAACATGAATGCTAATCAGGCCCAAGCCAATCAAGCACAGGGCGAGGCAGGGGGCGGCCTAGGGCCTGCGCTTCAGCCCGTGCCTTAGCCTGCATGTATCCCCGCTCCAACAGCCCCGCCAGATCTATATTTATTCGATCCAGCACACCACCTGGCAGGAGCATGGCTTGCCACGCTCCGAGCGCAGCAATACGATAATGATGAAGCTAGGATTAACATCCCAGCCCGGCTAGGAGGCGACGCCCATCACTGGTTCAGCACCTACGTATGGACTGACCTTCCTACCTTCGAGAGGGACTTCCTACACCGATTTGATTACATACATCCAAAGCAAACATTCTTTATGATCAAAGACCGAGTGCAGAAGCCCCTCGAGTCTATTGCGGAATACCGTAGTCGGTTCTATCGACTGTTCATAAAATCTGAGATAGACGAAAAGGTAGGAAGAAAATTCTTCATAGATGGACTTCGAAGTAGAGCTATACGGGCTAAGATACGAAAACAGTTATCCCCCATCACCTTCACCCTGACGCAAATCATGGACGCAGCAGAAAAGATGGAGCGAAAGTTCGCTGCCAGTTTCCTCGAGGGAGAAGATCACGCTAAAGAAGGTGACTCTACGGAATTGACCCACGCAAGGATGGAATTAGCAGCCCTGCAACATAAGTTCAAAAATATGGGCTTCGTGCCAGGCCCTGTCACCTACCTGGAGCAGGTGGCAGCCCTATGGCGCCCTCCCGATCTGGGAGCAGGACCATCGACGCCCAAGGCGGATGTACAGACACCTACTCCGGCGGGGAAGATAGAGGAGTCGAACGCAGTGCTGGACCTTACACGTACATTGGTTAGCCTCATGCAAGAAAGCAAAAAAGAACAGCGCGAGTACAATGCCCGCATGGAGTCACTGATGCGTTCCATGCGTCCCATTAACGTTCGTGCTGTCCCTTTTGCCACCCAAGCATCTGCTCCCGCAGCCGCGGGAGCTGGCGCAGGCACGGCCCCTAGGATTGACATGTGTTACGTCTGCCATCAACCTGGCCACATGGCCCGGGATTGCCCCGAGCGACAAGTAAGAATAGGGGCTGCCCCGACAGCTGCAGCTCCCTTAGCTATCGGGCCTGGATGTGTAGGAACCATGGTACTAGAAGAAACGGACGTGGCAGCACTAAGCACAGGGGTAATCGAGGAAGCCGCAGAGCTCATCCCACTGGCTCAATTCCTCTCCTTGGGATATCCAGGGCTTGGGATGATAAGGGCAATCCAGCCTGCAGATGATGAGCGAGAGATTTCCGAATGGCGACCATCCCCTGGGGAGATGGAATTCGGCGGTCCTGAGTTCGTCACCGGGAAGATCGAGGTTCTGGACATTGTCCGAGCCTTAGATCACCGCATTCCGATTCCGATCGGCCATCTGTTCTCTATATCGGAACAGACCAATGATCGCATGCTCCAGCATTGCAAGGCCAATCGAAAACGATTCGCACTCGCCAAGCTGGCAACGGCCAAGGGGAAGGCTCCCGTAAAGGAGACACAGCCGGATACACCTGGACCCTCAGAGCCTGTACGCCTGAGACTGCTCCAGAAAAGCGACAATTTTTTGCGCATTAAAGCTATCACGTGGAAGTCAGCGGAGTGTAACATGGAGATCTGGGGAGTCCCATACAACACGAACCTTGATTCTGGGGCAGCAGTGTTGGCAATATCCCTGCGAGTAATGGAACAGGCAGGAAGAAGGAAGGATCTGATCCCACTCAACGAAGGAGACCGTTTGATCTCCGTTGGTGAGGAGAAGATCAGAGCGGTAGGAAAAATGACATACGTCGCTTTTAAGTTGGGAAAAATCCACGCCTTGGGAGACGTGGTGGTTCTTAATGTGAACTTGTACGACGTACTCATCGGGCTGCCTGCTTTAAACGCCCTCCAAGCCAATCTAGACTTTGAGTGACGGGAGGTGGTTATCAAGAACATCGGGGGTAAGTCGTACGCAGTCCCCATACGCCTCACCCTCCGCACGGCTACCAACCCGCCACGTAGATCTCACCCAGAGGTAGGCGGGCCAATTCGGACAGTCACCTGGGACAGACTCCCAGAGAACTCAGAGACTAGCAGCGAAGAACACGCGTCCCCGCTTCCCGAGGATTCGAAAAGCGAGGACGAGACAGGCCCGGCGATTCAAGAGCTGACACGAAGGGTAATCTGTTACCCAGCCCGGCAGAAAACGATGAAAACGTTCGTGTTGACCGAAGAAAATGTCCAACTAACTCGAGCTCTGATCATAGGAGAACCCCTGGTACAGGTGTCAAGGCTGCCCGACTCTTCGGAACCCCCTCGAACCCTGTACGAGGGCACTACTCCCTTGCTCCCCTGATACGTGGACAAGCGATCCTTCTGCGACGCCACGGAACCCCCTCCCCGATCGCTTCTTACCACAGACAAGGAGATACGGTTGCTACGTCTGGGAGCGGAAATACAGGCTCCGGAACCCCCTGGGTGCCCCGAAGCCTCGATGTTTGATGTCGGGATAAGGATCGCTGAGAAATCGTTGGATTCCTGGGATATTGTGGACGGGATAACCCCCGAAGAACACGTGGCCATCCGAGAAGAGGAAGCCCAGATGGTAGCCATCGTGTTCTTGTGGAGGTCGGACAACTCTTTCATCCCTTCCCCGCCGCCCCGAGACTCTAAGGCAATATGTACCAAACACGTTACAGTCGATATACACAGACAACCTTACGAGTTACACGTGCCAGAATATGTGCCCGACGAAACCCACCAACTTATTGCAGAGATCTTAGCGGAATATCAGGGTGCTATCAACATTGATAACGCAGACATCAGGTTATCCTTAATAATCCAGCACGAGATTCAGACTGATACTCACCCGTCGATTCATTGCAAACCTTATCGATACTCGTTGGCAGAACGAAAGGCAACACTCGAGCGAATCCGGGAATTCGAAGCTAACGGTTGGATAGAGCCCGCTACAGGTCCTTGGTCCTTTCCGGTAGTTTTGGTTCAAAAAAAAACCGGATGATCAGAATGTGCATTGATTATCGAAAATTGAATGACATCACGATCAAGGATGTGTACCCCCTCTCTCGGATTGATGATCTGCTGGATGCGATTGGCTGTGCAAATTATTTTAGTAAATTTGATATCCGGCACGGGTTCCACCATATCCTTGTGAGGGAAGACGACGTTTGTCTTGTTTGAGGGCACGTGGCAGTGGGTTCGATGCCTTATGGGTATATGCAATGCGCCGACGACTTTTCAGCGGGCAATGAATGTCACTTTCCAGAACTTCGTGAACAAGATCAGGTTAACTCAAGGCATGATCAATTTTTGCGTTATCGTGTACATGGACGATGTTTTGGTGTATTCTGAATCATTCCATGGACACGCGCAGCATATTGAATGGATACTTGGCGCGCTGCGGGACGTCGGTTTCAAGATTTCGTTGGAGAAAAGCGAATTCTTCTTGTCTGAGATCTCGTTCCTAGGCTATGTGGTAACCCCAGGAGGCTTGAGACCGGATTCGAGGAAGGTCGAGGCTGTTCGAGAAGCACCCACGCCCACGTCATTGACGCAGGTTCGAGCCTTCTCGGGACTGGCCTCGTACTATCGACGGTTTGTCAAGGGCTTTGCGGCTATCGCTCGACCCCTGACGAACCTCCTCCGGAAGGACCAGCCGCTGAACTGGGACGTGGAGTGTGAGCAGGCCTTTTGCACTTTGAAGGAGGCCCTGGCCTCGACCCCTATTTTAATCCGACCCAACGCCGCAAGGAGAATGCTACGCTGTCGTCTGGGGAATCCAACACTTCCACCCGTATCTCTACGGGCAGAAGTTCCTCCTCGTAACGGATCACGAGCCATTGCTGGCCCTCAAGAAGTCGATGAACTACACGAGAATGATTAGGCGATGGGCGGTGAGGCTGCATGAGTATGACTTCGATATCGTCCACAGAAAAATGGATAAAAAGGCACGGGAACGCCGACGGATTAACACGTCTGCACCGACCAGGCAAGGTGCCACGCAACGAAGAGATCACTCCGTGGAAGGATCCGGAGCAGCCCAAGGGTCCCGGGTATGGCCAGGTGAAGGTTCTCCCTCGATAGGCAAAGAAGTGACACGTGTCCTTATGGGGGCCCAGAGAGAAGAGAACGCTGAGGGCCCTCTCTCTCCTTCCTCTTCTCTATTCTCCCTCCCCGATCATTTTTGTTTTCTCTGTGAGTCTATCTCGCGCATCCACTCCGTTTCGGTTAAGCCGAAACATGAAGGGTACATCGAGTGGGTAGAGTGTGCCACGTGCGTAGTCAGGGCCCATGGATCATGCATCCAATATAGGAATCCACAGAAACGGTGGCTCTGCCATCTGTGCCGTACTGATAAGATTCCGACGGAGGCTCGATTCCTAGAAGCGACGTCGAAAGGATTGGAAAAGATCTTACAGTATAGACGGGCAGAGGTGTGGACAGATGTCGCTTTGATAGCAACCGTCGTAGGGAACCCTCTTCGAGAATTCTCCAAGGACGATCGAAGACGGGCCAATGAAAAGGCGCGGGATTATAGGTGGAATGAGGGACGGTTAGAAAAGCGAAAAACAGACGGGAGCGGAATATGGATGGTAGTTCCGCACCCGTTTATGAGGTATGACTGGGTTAAAGCAGCCCACGAAGAGACAACAGCCCATTTGTGGACAGATGTCGCTTTGATAGCAACCGTCGTAGGGAACCCTCTTCGAGAATTCTCCAAGGACGATCGAAGACGGGCCAATGAAAGGGCGCGGGATTATAGGTGGAATGAGGGACGGTTAGAAAAGCGGAAAACAGACGGGAGCGGAATATGGATGGTAGTTCCGCACCCGTTTATGAGGTATGACTGGGTTAAAGCAGCCCACGAAGAGACAACAGCCCATTTCGCGGTCAGGATCACCGAGTTCGCCATCGAGAAGAATGAATGGTATTGGTCCAACATTAGGGACGACGTTAAATATATTATTAAAAATTGTCCCGTCTTTGCGGCCGACAAGGCACCGATTCAGCCACCTAGGTCGATAGTGCCCACCGTAGTCCAACGACCATTTCAGAGGGTTAGCATGAACACGACGGATATTATCATCCCCCCTGGACCGAATAGTTATGAATATTCAATTCTCTTGGTGTTTGTCGACCACTTCTCAAAGTGGATCGAGGCCTACCCATGTCGGACAAGACAGACGACAGAAATAGCGTGGTATGTCACCCGTTTCCTCGGAATGCATCAGGACACCGAGAAAATCCTTATCGACAACGGAGCTGAATTCAGGGGAGAAGTCATGAGGAACCTGGTCATACACAGGGTGTCTATTCGTAATACGGCTCCCCATATGTCTCAATTGAACGACCTCGTGGAAAATGCCAACCGGGTAATTAAAACGGCACTTCGACGAAATATTGAAGCTAAGGACACGCGGCAGTGACCTGATATCGTAGATCACATCTTAGCTATACGCCGAGGGACCCCGCATGAATCTACCGGACTTTCACCTTTCCAGCTACGTACCAACAGCCTATCTTGTGTCTCGATACCGAATCTAAATGACGAATCGGCGCCGGACAAACGTCCCACGCGGGCGACGGCCAAGGACAAGGCCAAGCGCCATCTGGACCTCATGGAACGGGCCCTTCCTAGACTAGCCTGGAAAAGACAGCGTATGACTGAATTGGCCCACGGACGCCAGGTCCAGAGTTATGAGGCCCGAAATGGGAATGCAGGCCCTCGGCCCCAGTATAAACTGGGGGACTTAGTGCAAGTGAGGAAATGTGCTCGCCAGGGTAAGCTAGTGCCACGATTCTACAGATGCTTCAGAGTGATCGAGCTCGGCCCTAATGGCGTGAACACGATGCGGCTTGCTCCTGAGGCGTCAGGCAGCCGGTCGGCTAGGCCTATCGTCCGCCACGTGTCCTACCTCTGCCATCTCGCGACTTCTTCCCCTCCTTCTCCAGCTGGGTCTATTTCGGAGTCTGAGTGGGACCGTGACGAGCCTTATTCTCTTTCTTCTACTCGTTCATCTTCTCCCTCCTCTTCGCCATGAGTTTCTCCATGGAGCAGGTACTCAGTGAACGCATGTTGGCGCCAAGTGGGCATATCTCGTCAATTCGGCAAGTGTATCATCCGCGCATCAGCCCGGACACTCTCCGCTTCGCCCAGTTCTTCAGTACGGCGGCAGAATTTCGATTTGCGATCCCCAACAGCAGGTCACACGTGCTGGCCGAAGCCTTGGCTTACTGTCGGCTCTCGGTGCCAGGGACTCCTCACATCTCGGCAGTTGTCATCTTCAGCGGGGATCTTACTCCGCTCGACCACAAGACGCATACGACCATTCTTGACTCGTTGTGAGATTGGGGAGCGCAATTGTCGAGGGTGTAGAGTCAGATGCTTGCGCAGCGGGGGGAGAACATCGTCAATACCGACAGTATTGACATAGATGGCATTCGCCTCTCTCGGCATGCACCAACGGTGCTCATCCCCGAGCTTGTCCCCTTCCCGCGCCCCCAATGAACCGCTCCAGATTCTCTACTTTCAGCCTCCCCTCTAATTTTCCTCTCTTCTGGCAGTCCSCACTCCATCCCCGCCTCTCTTTCTATGTGTGCCCGCTTATGCTTCCTAGGATCAAGCCGGAGTAGTGACTAAGGTGGTGGCAAACGTATGCGACTCTTTCGCTGTGCTTAGTCGATATCGATCTAACGTGGTGGAAGGACGGTGACCAGCCCGCAGTTAGTGAGGACGTCGAGCTGCTACTCATTCAAGCTTGGAAGACGGACACAGAGGGGGATTTTCTAGGATTCATCTTCGGATCAGTCGAGCCGGACCATCGATGGACAATCGTAAGTGAGCTGCTGATCCTCCAGACCGAGCTGCTAGACGACCTTCCGCTTGACGTCATCTCGCACTCCGACAAAAATCCAGTACCACACATCCTCTCGAGCAGCCTAGTACCGTATCTGTAATGGTCAGCATGCCTGGAAGGCGATGATGATAACGTTTGTTACCCATCACACAACTACCTAGATCCCGGGACCATTGCGGACGCTCTCTTCAACTCGGTGAGCGGAGGAGAAGAGGAGGAGGAAGAGGAAGAAGACGAGGAAGAGACCTCCAGAGAAAACAAGGAAGAGACCTCCGAAGAGGACGAGGATTATAGTGAGCATAGTGAGCATGAGGTGGGGGTGGTGAGTGAAGAAGAAGAAGAAGAAGAAGAAGAAGAGCGGGAGGAGGCTGAAGAACTTGAAGAAGCGGCCGGAGAAGAGGAAGCGGATCAGGCGGAAGCCCAGGAAGAGGATCCGGAGGCAGAGCGGCGCAGGGCGGCCATCGCGGAAGAAAAGCGGTCATTGGAGCAGTCGGTGGGAGTTGATCTGCCTTTTCCGGACGACCCGACTAAAGATCCCGAGCCGCCAGCCAGGGAAGATGAGCACCCTCATGCAGAGACTTCTGGCACGGCGACACGCAGGCGATCCCGCTCCCCCTCCCCTTCCCCCCGTCCCTCAGTTCGAGCTCGTGGCAATGGGGGACATCGGGTTACGTCCCCGTTCCCTATCCCGCCGTCCCCTTGATTACATCACATTCCAACAGATCAATACTCCGCGCTCCTTCCCCTCTAATCCTTTTCCTTCTTCGACCTTCCACCAATTCTACGCCACCCGCCTCGTTGCCGAAGTATACCCGCACCCCGCCGCCCAATGTGTCTCTTCTTCCTTCTATCTCAACGTCCTTCAGTTCAGCGCCGCGTGGCGAGACCAGGACGTCATTGAAGTCTACTGCATCATCACGGGAACTAATATCCTCGTGTGTGCAGATCATGAGCAGTTCCGCGCGGCGTTGTTTCGCACCTTCTCAACCCTCTATCCCGATTATCTTACTTCCCTCCCCGAAGGCGGAAATCGCTTCCCCCGCATCCATCTCATCGTCATGTACTAGGAGCTCCCTAAAACGGTGATGGGGACGACGGATTTCTTACCGCCTCTCCCGAATGATCCTCCCCCGCCTATCCCCGCCATCTTCCGACCCCCCCACCCTTGAGACGAGGACGGCTCGAATGACGTGTCGACAGGATGACTTCCACACTCTTATCCTACGGTAACGACATGCGTAATATTGGCGGAATTGTAATTCTTTCTTCCTTCCTTCTTCTTTCTTCCTCGAGCTTGGGAGAGATGTGGGTGCAAGCGGTAGTTTGCACAGGATGGAACCCCCTGGGCGTCACATATGTGACGAACTACTTTCTGTAAGGCACCATCTTCCACGCAACCGGGATTGGGGGTACGCAGAGGGATCAGGGATAAATTGCATGGTAGTCCCTCCTTCTTGATTTTTCGAAGTTTTCTCGTTGGTCCTTCAGGAAGGAGAAAGTGGCGTTTATTGACCTTGGGATAGTAGGCCCGCGCCTTAGCAAGCGCGGGGGGGGGGGGGGAACAACTTCGACTATGGTTTTTTTCTCTTTTCTTTTCTTTTCTTTTCTTTTCAAATATTAAGGCGTCCGTCTTTTTGGCACGATAATCGCATGGGTAATTCCTTCAGAATTTTTTTTGAATTTAGAACGAGCCCATGCGGGCTCTCGAAATTTCTTTTTGTAATTAGGACTTTAATTAGATCAGGAAATTGGGTGCGCCAGAATTTTTGCCCGTAACTGCACATCGCCTCTTGCCTACGTGCGCGCTTTGCTGCACAGGGACCTGCGCTCAATTCCCGCCGAGCCTAAATTCTAATCTCAACTGTAATCTCTTCTTGCTCCTTCCCCGCTACACAAGTGTAACTGTAATCTTCTCCGTTCTTGAAATTCCCTTCCCGCGTCACTGCATGCGCACTCTACATCCTGTCTCATTGGCCGGATCGTTGCATGGTTGGATCGAAGCGTGGAATGAGGCTATGTCCCCCACGCCACGGCCGAGTCATGCACTCGTAGGCACTTCCTTTCTCCCTTCTTTCATGTTCCTCTGACAATCCCGACTATTGCGCGCTGATGATCAAGCTATAAATTATGCAAGCGCGATTGATTTTCTCTATCTACCTGGGAGTTAGCGGTCGAGAGGATCGGCTAACGTGCGGAAAGACGGTGAGTAGAGAGTTGGGCGATCTGACGAGCTGGTGCTGAGTGTGCGGGGTTGACGCGTGGCCGCGAGGGACTGTGGCACGTGGGCGAACCTGGCTTGCACGCTCAGG